GTTTGAAGGCGTGGAGGTGTTTGAAGGTGTGGAGGTGTTTGAAGGTGGAGGTGTTAGAAGGTGTGGAGGTGCTCGTGTTCGTGGCTGCAGCCTCGTCTCAGCCCCGGTGAAGCCGAGCACCGTGGGCTCCCCGAGGCTGCACAGACTAACCTGAGGGTGAACAGGCGTGACTCCTGGAGGAGCAGGCGCTCGCGTGCGATCATCCTTGGACAAGGCCTCCTGCTTTCCACGGTAGTGACGGCCTGGATCAGTGGCTCTCACTGTTCTTGAAGCAGGTAGAGGAAAGTCCAGCAGCCAGATGTTGTTTGAATCAGAGGGAGTTTCACCTGTCAGACCCTGTCAGCTGCCACAACAATGCCCTGAACTGTGCTGCATGTTTCTGCTAAAATTCACAGAATAAACTTTCAGAAACCAAAATGGAGTCAGTGTTGATCCACACACGCTTTCTGCTGTTAAAAAAGATGAACTTGTATCTGGGGCCTTTTTTATTTTTGGACGTAAATATTTAATTTTTCAGTGTTTTTGATTTGAATTTTTACGTTTCTAACAATAAATGATTGTTTAGGGTTAAAGTTACTCAAAGTTCATCCGTCCATCATCTTTACCCGCTTCTTCCTTTTAGGGTCGCGGGCGTCACTGGTGTCCATGTCCCGCAGTCCCTGCGAGAGGCAGGGGACACCCTGGACAGGTGTCCAGTCCACCGCAGGGACACCGAGACAAACAACCAGTCACTCTCACCTTGTGTTAATGGCAGGACTGGAACGTCCAGGCCATCCAATTAGTTCCAGAAGGTTTGATCCTAAGGAGCCTTCAAAGCACCGTACCCCCTTGTTCAACATATTTTTAAAAGAAATAATTTTATTTAAGGAAGTGCTTAAATGCTGCAACCTTCCAAAAGCCCATTCCTTATACCAGTTTATTAATAGCTCATTTTAAGACTTGAAACTCCTCTTGCGTTTGGAACATTTTTTATTTTGCTGTTTCCTCAAATTGTTCATTTTCTTTGTTAATTATATTTCTGTTCATAATTTCTGATTAGTTTTTTTTGTCATATCAACCGTGAACATGTTTTTCTTGTTATATTACGTTTTGTACTTTTTTTCAAAAAAGAAAAAAAAAAACCCAGTTCAAAGCACCACAGCGACATCTGGTGGCCAAACGAGTTCAAGACAACCTGATCAAGGACATCATTTCAACTTCCCTTAAGTAAATTAAACTTTAAACATAAAGCAAATCAAGTAAATTAAATAAAACATACTTTTTATAGACGAACAAATTATCCCAGTTCAGTGGTGATTTTATTAACATTTAAAAATCCAACTCCCAAAAAGAAGCCCATGTTCATCTCTTGTAACATTTTGTGTTGGTTTTTAGTATTTGAATGGAAGTATATTTTATTTTAATCTATTTTTAGGGGGTGTTTCTGTACATATAAGTATTTTTATTCAGAAAAACAACTTGTTCAGCAATGTTAGGACTGAGACTGTTTTATTTACCCTTCTCCACATCAATAGTCCATCATTCAGTACTGGACACTCCAGTAAATCAGGTGCGACTTTAAAAATGCATTGCAGAGCTATAAAGTAATTTTAATGTTGGGAGGTGAATCAGCTGCTAATCAGGCGAGGACACAAAAAATAATCACAAAGTATAGACATTTTAATTTTGTGTAGTTGTATTTTATTTATAAACAAAATTGCTGAGTTGTCATTTTGAGTTTCATTAAATTTCAATCTACTAGCAGGGATTACCATAGATATAAACACTAGATCCCGCATTGACCGCGCTCGCCTATTGGCGCTGACGAGCCGTGGGGCCGCCATCTTGGAACGGTCGGCCGCTCCACTCAGTGTAACCTGTTTGTCAGGAGCAATGAAGTATCTGTGGTTTAATCAGTCAGAACTGAATAATAAACTCATTCTCACGATTTTTTCCTCTGTAAATCTCAGGAGTACAGCCATTAAAGCTGAACACATGGTTCAGTGTTTTTAAATATTCTTGATGGGGTTAACATTAACACTAATAAAATATTCTTATGACAAGTTTTGCAAAACTCACAGTCACTGATACATTTTTATTAATATATATATATATATATATGGGTGATTCTATAATTGGAGATACATTTGGTGTCCAGGGTCAATATTTTTGGTCTGCTTTGTTGTAATGTTTTCATTTTTTTTAAATCTTAATAATTTCTTGGTTATTCGTATGGATCATAATATGTCACAATTCATAACATTGATATAATTACATTTAAATGTGTTTTAAGTAGTTCAATAAACATAACTTCTTGTTGTCCGAGTTGGTCACTGTTTTTTTTTTCTATCTTGGAATATGATGGAAAAATGTTTATTTTCAATATTTTTCTTTTGAAATCTGTCAATGTTATTTTTTTCTAAACTTCCTAAATAGTCAATTATGCAACAATATTGCAGTAAATAATTTAAAAACACCCATTTCATTAAAAAATGTGTGTCCGAGAATATTTTGTCAACTCTGTTACCTTGTGGTTCTTTAACTTTATGGAATTCCAGTCCACAGTTATATAAACTGAATGAAATGATGTCACTTCTTTTTACTGATAGGATCTCAAGCACACAGAGGTGTCTGCCTTCTCTGAGAAATGATTTCAATATGAAAAGCGTTACAACCAAGTGTAAATTTTTTCAAAGTCATCTTGTTACTGTAATATCATAAGAAAAACACTATAGGTTTGAAAAAAATTTATATGTTTATCTAAAGGTTTTTAAACCATGATTTTGTTGGTGACATGTGCTTTTAACATTTATGCTAGCAAGTGGAGTTTTTAACAAAAACGTTTGAAATTGTCAACTCTGTTACCAAGGTAGAGTAACAGAGTTGACATTGTGCAACTATTGAGTAGTAATTTTAAAAGTTAAAGAGTACAATTTAATAAATGTATGAATTAATGAAATAATTAAATAAATACATAAATAAATGAAAAAAAATTCAGGTCTCTCTTGTAAATGAGTCCTCGAGGCTCAATGGGATTAACCTGTCTAAATAAAGGTTGAATTAATTTAATTAATTTCAAAGTAATTATTGACTAAATTACAATATTGTTTTTAATACAACATACATTTTTACTCTAGATATGCCACTCTCAGCTGTTGAGAAACAAAGAAGATATCGAGCTAGATGAGATGCCAATACAGACAGAAAAGAGGAGAATTTAGCAAAGGACAAGGAAAGATGGAAACGCAACAAAGAGTTGGGAAGAGTCAGCTTGGTGGCAGACCTAACACCAAGAGAGAGGAGAAGAAAGCAAAGATACTGGAGAAGAGCACAGGCTGCAAGCAGAGCTAGAAGAGTAGCGCAGAAAGAAAAAGAAGACCCAGCGCACATCAACAATGCAGTTGAGGCGATGCCAAAGGAGCTTCATGTTCTACCTTTGACAATGCAGACACATCAAATGATAACTGTATCATCACATCAATTGATTTATTGTGATGTGAGTTGTTCATGCTTCACAAAACAAAATCTAGTGTGCCAGTGCTACAACACCAAAACCTTCACCTTTCCGGTTGAGCCACTCAAAACAAATGAAGACCAAGAGGCTGTTATTCAGCGGGACAATCAAGATGTTGTGGGGCAATGGTGTATCTTGCAATATGACAATGTTGTCTACCCAGGGACCATCCTAGAAGTCAGTGAAACGCATGTGAAGGTGAAGTCCATGCACAAAGTTGGAAAGAACCGCTTTTTCTGGCCAGCATGAGAAGATGTGTTGGAAGGAAAAATTAAAGGAAAGGAAAAATTATGCTAATTTTTTGGGACAGGCATTTTGGGTTTTCATGAGCTGTATGCCATAATCATCAGTATTAAAACAATTAAAGACCTGAAATATTTCAGTTGGTGTGCAATGAATCTGAAATATATGAAAGTTTCATTTTTATCATTACATTATGGAAAATAATGACCTTTATCACAATATGCTAATTTTTTGAGAAGGACCTGTATATATATATATATATATATATATATATATATATATATATATATATATATATATTTATATACATTTGTAGCTGGAGACTCGTCTGAAACACACACACACAGCGTGTATTAATAAACAGTACTTTATCAATATTTACATAATTTTACTCAGTTTTTTCTCACTACAGCAGTTAGCATTTGCTTACCACACATCCTGTAGCTTGCTTTCTGTCTGCTACGTCATAATGATTTAAAGCTTCCAACACTCTCCTATAGTGCTCCAGACTTTTCGGCGAGAGTAAACGCAGCCTGTTCTGGGTTCTGTCAGCGTTCTAGGTCCACCAGCCATTCTCACACTCATCAGCTGCAGCCATTCACAGTCAGGCGTCTTCTGGATGTACGACAAAGAGGCATGGGA